TGTTAGTTGGACCTGGACGAGGTCCTCAGCTTGATGGCGCGGGATCGACCGCGGTAGCCATGGCGCTGAAAATGCAGTTTTTACAGTAGGTAGCGTCTAATGTCCGGGGGGTGATTTTGGGTGCTCAGGCCGATGTGTCGCAAAATGCGCTCTCCGCGACAATATTTTTTTGAAAAGTGCCTGCATATTTTTATTGTGTAATATATTTAGAGCTCAAAGATCTCCACGTCGACGATCGTATCGGCGTGCTCATTGTCAGGCTGGCTCGAACATGAATCAAATGCGTCCAACTCACTGCTATCGAATCCACGAATGAAATTCGCGACAGAAGCAAGCTCCAGACCGGTATCAGAGTTTGCAGTAGTGTTAGCTCCGTAAACTTCGCCAATGTTGGCCTTGACGAAGCAGTTTTTTATAGATTTCGGCGCGATCTTGCTCCAAGCTGCAGCGGAGAGATGGGCGGCGTCCATCAAATGAGCGGGGCGGCCGTGTGCGACGCCAAAGGTACCGGGGCGGTTGCTAGCCACTTCTGCCGTCCTCGCAGCCTTGTCTTCATCGCTCAGATCGAGGTGCTTGATGACAAGGGTGTGTACACCCATTGGAGCCATGGCGTTGGCATCAAGCGAGGAACGTCGCTGCTCGCGAAATCGAATTTTTGCATTAATTTAAATCAATGGGACTGGTAGAAACTATGACACTGGACGCGTAAAATCCACAACTCAATAAAACCTCGATGATAAATCCAAACGAAAACATAAGATTGTGCGGATTGGAGCCATGGCGTTGGCATCAAGCGAGGAACGTCGCTGCTCGCGAAATTGAATTTTTGCATTAATTTAAATCAATGGGACTGGTAGAAACTATGACACTGGACGCGTAAAATCCACAACTCGCTGCAAATTTAGGTTGCTACATGAGCGTTGGAATGCGCGCTGCTTTCGAGATGCTGCCACGACAGCATGGTTTGTCCCAAAGTGGTACAAACCTGCATGTATGGGAAATATTATCCCGAGCTGCAGGCATGGAGTAAATCCCTCGAGTTTGTCCCACAGAACAGCCCAAGCTCAACTGCGTTCATTTTGTTGAAGCATCCGATATGACGACGACCAACAGCGGCACACGGACGGCCTTTGTCACCGGCGCGACGGGCTTCCTCGGGCGGCACCTCGTCGAGTCGCTCCAGAGCAATGGCTGGCGTATCGTTGCCATGCACCGACCGGGCTCCAACGTCAAAGCTCTTTTGGATCTCGGCGTCCAGTGCGTTGTCGCCGACCTGCAAGACCCTGCTTCGATCATTGCAGCAATGCCCAACGAAGTCGACGCCGTCTTCCACGTCGCTGCCAACACGACGCTGTGGCGTGCCCGGCACGCCGAGCAGTGGCGCGACAACGTCCTCGGCACCAAGGCCATGTGCGAAGCCGCCGTGACGCAGCATGCCAAGCGGTTTGTGTTTGTGAGCTCTGTCGCCGCGTACGGCTACCGCGGCGATACGATCAACGAAGCGACACCCCAGGAAGGTAGCATCGCGCCGATCAACTACTCGCGGTCCAAGGCCGCGGCCGAAGTCGAGGTGCGGGCGGCCATCGCGAAAGGGCTCGCCGCCGTCATCATCAACCCGGCGCATATCCTCGGGGCGCATGACCAGAGCAACTGGGCGCGCATCTTCAAGATGGTGGCGCGCAATGAGCTGACGGGCATTCCGCCCGGCTCGGGCTCCTTCTGCTACGCGCCATACGTGGCCGACGCGATCGTGGCGGCGGCCGAGAATGGCCAAGTCGGCCACAACTTCCTTCTCAAAGGTCCCGATGCGTCATTTCTGGAGCTGATTCAGGAAGCCGCGAAGCAACTGGGTAAGGTCGAGACGCGTCAGCAGCTCCCAGCGTTTGTGCTGCGTCTCGTGGGCCGCGTGAACGAAGCATTTGCATATTTTACAGGGCGGGAGCCCGACGTTACGTACGAAGGCGCGCTCTTGGTGTGCTTGCACGCGCACATTGAGACGACCAAAGCGCGAGACGAGCTCGGGTACAAGCAAATGCCGTTGGCCGAGAGCGTCGCCAGGACCATTGCGTGGCTGCGTGAGACTAACCAGTGCTAAGGCACGTTGTGTTTTTATACCGAGTTGAACGCGGTTGAAGATTGAGCGTGCACGGAAGGCAAGCATTCATAGTGCCATCACAAGTAAGGCGCCACATAGTTAGACGTTGATAGACTGGAGAAGCCTGCAAATGTAATAAAGCTGACGACGGTGGACGACTGCATCAGCCGTGTCTCTAGCCCAATTGAAGGTCCTGGTCGTGCCCCCGCGTCGCCGGTGTCGGGATCCGGCGAATCTCGCACCACCCAGCTGCTGGGCACGTCGCACATCGCGACCACAAGCCACAGCGTCCGTATTACGCCTACAAGAGGACCCTGGCGCTACACCAAGCGTCCTATAGGGCTAGAGAAGCGATGGTCCCACGGTATTCCGCCAGCGCACATCAACGCCAAGCGGGCTGGGAGCGTGCCAGCAAAGGCGCACCTCGCCGTCGAAATCTCAAAATAGACGGCATATTTTTATTCCGACTTGTCCATCATTTAATTCGCATAAACATGCGTAATGCCGTCGTTTGCACCTCATTAAATACCACGGGGCCACAAAACCGACGCGGCGATTCTATTAAATTTAGCCTGCAAAGCTCAGTTGAGTTTTGATCGGAGCATGGACAAGCAAGATACGAAGCCGCCACGCGTCGTCTTCGAGAGCATTCCGCGCCTCTTCGCCTACGACGCGACGCCCCATCATGGCGTCTTTGACCACTACGAGCGCGAGACGCCGTCTTGGCACGCGCTGACTAAGCTGCCGCTCGTGCAGGAGCCCAGCGTCAAGGTGCTCTACTGGGTCCGCCACGCCGAGGGCCACCACAACGCCGCCGAGCGCTTCTACGGCACGCCGACGTGGGACGCGACCGTCTCGCTCTCGGACGAGTACTTGGACGCTGCGCTCAACGACGCCGGCCTCGCCGACGCCCGGAATCGGTCGACGCACATGCTGTACGAACGCCATATTGGGCTGCCCCTCGACAAGATCATCGTGTCGCCACTCACACGGACGCTGCAGACGGCGCACGAGCTGTTTCGTCTTAACGACTCGAGTGTACCGTCGGTGCCAATTATCGCGATGGAGAACTGTCGCGAGACGCTCGGCGTGCACACCTGCGACAAGCGCAGTCCGCGGTCCGCGCTGGTCGAAGCCTTTCCCAAGGTCAACTGGAGCCTCATTGATGACGAAGAGGACACGCTGTGGTCGCCTAGCCATCGCGAGACGAACGATGAGATCCAAATGCGCTGCCACGCGTTCTTGGACGACGTCTTCACCCGCATCCCCGACAAGTACATTGCCATCGTGTCCCATGCCGGGTTTATCCAAAACTGCATGGTACTCTTGCGATACCCCAACTACAAGCCAAAAAACTGCGAGACGATTCCGACTGTGGTCCAGCGCACGCTCTTGGCGCCGTCCGTTGTCGCCAAGCAGTTGCCGCCCGCCGAGCGCATGATGGAGCTTTCATCGCTCTTGACCATGCTGCTCGTGTTGGTTCTCTCGTGTAGAGCTCTGCGCACCCACTGTCTACCAAGCTGTGGACACAATTAGTTATACAATACGATAGTTGATACTACGACACTTCAATTTTGTGTGACGGGTCGACGTGGCCGGGCGCTACTCCACGCATCTCACACCCGACACGTGCCAAAAATCTATGTGTGACGCCGCAAGCTGACGCCGCAGCGTGCCACGTCAGCAGGGCGACCATCGGACGCGACGGCAAAGGTTGCATCAACCGGGTTGGCATACAGGCCGGGAACATAGGAGATGGTGCCAAGTGAGATGATTGTGGTCGACGGCATTCACAATTTCTTGACTGGTCAGTGCGTTGTCTAGATTCTAGTCAACGCACTAGTGCGATTTCGTAGTACCAGTGAGCTAATCGTGCGATTTCGTAGTACCAGTGAGCTAATCGTGGGCAACTCAACTTGACACGTAAATTTGGTTGCAGAATACGTTGCCGGACGTCCCAACCCACCACAAAGTAGAGGTTTACGATCTCGAGCGTTAAATAGTTTATATAGCTCATGCAACCCGTGCACATATATCGTCCGTAGCACCACGTCGAATATATTTAGCTCAGGAAATAGCCACGCGCAACGCTTAACATGACGTGCACATCAAAATGGGCGCGCGATCTTTTTCGGCCGTTGAGGCGTTTGATTGGCCGCTTGGTCAGCGTTTTTAGCCAGTTACATTTGTTCGATCGCCCGATTGCGACGGAGATTCTGGCTTTTGCCATGGCCGCCGACGACTTCGTGTACGACGACCCGGTGTACGCGACCCTCCACGGCGGCTTCCACGTCGTGCCAGGCCACTTCGCGTACCACGCAGTGCCCGACATCGACGCCATCTTCGAGCACTTTGCTTGCGCCGAGACCGACTGGCACACGTTCGCCAAGGCCATCCGCCGGGCCAACCGGCCCAACACCAAGGTGCTCTACTTCTTGCGCCATGCCGAGGGCGAGCACAACGCGGCCAAGATACGCCTCGGACCCGAGGTGTGGTTTCGCGACGTTGCCATCACCAACGAGTTTCTCGATGCGCGCTTGACGGCAAAAGGCGAGGCCGCGGCCGCGAGCGCCGCCGCCCGCATGAAGTACGAGCTCCAGATGGGTCTGCCGCTGGAGAAGGTCATCTTGTCGCCGCTGCGCCGCACGCTGCAGACAGGCACGACGGTGTTTGCGACCGAGATTGGCAAGGTCCCATTCGTCGCCATGGAGCTCTGCCGCGAGACCATGGGCGTGCACACATGCGATAAGCGGAGCCCGATCGCCGAGATGGCCGCGCTCTTCCCGATGGTCGACTTTTCCGACATCACGGAGAACGACGACGGCCTCTGGCAGCCCGACAAGCGCGAGTCTCTCGACGAAATCCAAGCCCGCGCCGTGCAGTTTCTCAAGCACGTCTACGAGAACGTGCCTGAGACGTTCATTGCCATCACGTCGCACGTCGGGTTCATTGGCGCGTGCTTGCGCGTGCTCGAGCAGACCGAGTATCGGCTCGACAACTGCGAGATCGTGCCCGTCGTCATCCAGTTCAACGAACCGACCAAGAGCCCGCGGAAACCCGTGGCGTAGACAGAGTGCTCACTGTACATAACCAAAGGAGGCAACGACACTACGTACTACGACGATGGGCTGTTGTACGCAAAGGCGTATCCTTGACATGGCTTTGGTCGCACGGTAAGCCCTGATGCAAAGTCCTCAGCTGTAAGACTTGCGAAGACGTAAGATCAAACGACGTTATAAGACTGCCCTGCTCTATTCCAAGGCGCCGATGCGATCGAAGGGATCCATCTCTACATGGCAAAGAGGTCGCGGAAACCTTGCTTTTGGTCGGCCGTCAAAGTCGTCGGGAAGAGGACGTTGATCTTGACGTGCAATTGTCCTACAGAGAAGAGATTGTCAGATGCAGGTGCGATGGATGTCCACACGCTACCTCGCTCGGACGCATACTGGTACTTGGGCATGCCTTCGTTCGGAAGCGAGATCACTTGGCTCGGCTCCGTGATCGACGACCGCGCCACTTCCACACGGCGACCGTCCATGTGCACAAAGCTCTTCCGAAACCCAATGAGCGCCTCCTTGAGCGAAATGTTCAAGTCCATCCAGAGGTCGTCGCCGTCGCGGGAAAAGAGCTCGTGGGGCACGGTCGCAACGCGGAACCGGACGTGGCCGGCGCTGCGGTCGGCAAACTCGTCGGCGTAGTGCTCAAACTCAATTTCGTGGCCATCTTGCATGCCCTTCTCGACATCGACGTCCACTTCAACGTCGGCAAAGTTGGTCTTGTGGCCGCCGCACACGGGGCACGTGCTCGTGACAATCTTGCCTTTCCCGTGGCACTTGGTGCACGTCGTCTGGAATTGCTGGATGAAGCCGGGCCCGACGCGCCGCGTCTCGAGCTACACGGCAATGCGTCATGGATCTGAGCGTAAATGCGATAGGTAGTACCTTGACGCCGTGGCCACCGCACTCGTGGCACGTGTGGATGTCGTCGGCGTGGGCCGCGCCTTTGCCGTGGCAGTGCTGGCACACAGTTTTCCGTCGCATCGACACGGGAATGCTGCGGCCATTGTACAAGTCGGCGAGCGACACGCGGAGCGGCACCGTGACGTCGTTGCCGCGCGACGGCTCTTGCTGGCGCTGACGGCCGCCGCCGCCAAAGAACTGCGAGAAAATGTCAAACGGATCATGGCCGCCACCGCCGCCGCCGCCATTGTCCTTGAGACCGTCTTCGCCGTACATGTCGTATTTCTTGCGCTTCTCCGTGTCCGACAAGACCTCGTAGGCTAGGCGGCATGGTCATGCAACGTGTCCTCGATGGTATTCGCGGACGTACCGCTGGCGACTTCGGAAAACTTCTTGGCGGCGTCTTCATCGCCAGGGTTTTTATCAGGATGCAGCTACACGCATGCTGCATGAAGCCAGTGCCATGCCGGGCAAGCCTACCTTGAGTGAGAGCTTCCGGAAGGCCTTCTTGATCTCGGGTGACGATGCATCGCGTGAGATGCCAAGCACCTCGTACAGGTCGCGCCCAGCGTACACGGCCGCGACCAGCACGACCAGCAGCAGGACAAGGAGGCGAAGAGGCCGCCGAGCGTCCACGATCGCTGCCATTGCACCAAATGGGTTTTGCGCCCTACGCTTGAAATATCTTTGAGTGTCAGTGCCTAATTAGGAGATTGCCAGGACGAGGTACGATTGGACCACGGTTTTTGTTTTCGGACTTTGACTGGCGCCAGCCACGTGGCGCGACAGTTCTGGAAGAGGTCGAGCATGGACATCACGGGCTGGCATCGCGATGCGTGGACGACGACGCTGCGTATCATTTGTCCGCATATTGCAGTTGCAGATACCGAAGCGTAGCTCTTCGCAGGCAGTCGAAGCGCCCAGAGGCTATCAGATCTGAGTCTGGTTGGTGCTGGTACTACACGTACTGCACGAAGGACTCGCCTTGGCCTGCATACTGCTTTACACACGAGCTTGTAGAACAGGACGAAATGCTTGCATCGCTCACGCTGATTCGAGCTTTCCGGCACGGCAAGACGTCACCTCATGGTATCTCGGGTTTCGTTCCGCAGTCTTCACAGCACGAACTATACGAGCTGGATTCAGAGCCTGATCCTCACGTTAACGGGCACAATTGCTCTCTTCATAATCACGGGCGAAGCATCTTCTTGTAGACCGCGCAGCTCACATCAAACCCTTGAGCCAAGGAAACTGCTGGAAAGTACTTCCTTGGCTCTCCGGTCGAAATAGACCAATCACCGCGCGGCGCTGGATTGGTTTCGGCCAATCAGATACCTTGGTTGACGGTGGAAGCATCTTCCAGGCATTTTGGTCAT